CTAGCCCCTGAAAAGCTAAGGTTGGCGAAAAACGAGTTCGATCACACGATAGACTTAGGAATCATACGACCGCCAAATAGCCCATATACATCTCCGTTGCACATGGTCCGTAAAAAGGACAGCAACGATTGGCGTCCAACTGGTGACTATCGGAGATTGAATGCGAAAACCATTCCCGATCGTTACCCGTTGCCTCACATTCACGATTTGACAGCTACCTTGAAAGGTACAACTGTCTTTTCGAAAATCGACTTGGTTAAAGCGTATAATCAAATCCCCATGGCCACAGACGACATACCGAAAACCGCCATCATTACTCCCTTCGGACTGTATGAATTTTCGCGAATGCCTTTCGGTCTAAGAAACGCTGCGCAAACCTTCCGAAGGTTTATAGACGACATTTTTTGAGGTCCTAACTTCGTACATACGTATGTTGACGACTGTCTAATAGCAAGTCCGGACAGAGAATCACATCTCAAGCATCTGGATCTTGTTTTCGAACGACTACAAAAACATGGCATTACTGTAAACGTTCAGAAATGCCAAATTGGGACCGACTCATTAGACTTCCTAGGACACACTATCAATGCTCAAGGCATTCGACCTCTTAGGACCAAAGTGGCGTCCATTCTGGATTACCCAGAACCAACCAACGTCAAGCAATTACGAACGTTTAACGGCCTTATAAGTTTCTATAGACGATTCATTCCGAATGCACGTTACTCATGAAACCTTCGTGGAAATGCGAAATCCATCAATTTGAACGACACCGTGCGAAAAGCATTCTCCACGGTTAAGGAACTTATTGCTAAATCAACAATGCTTGCACATCAGGACACCCGAGCACCCATTAGCATCGCAGTAGACACATCCGACTCAGCAATCGGAGGAGTCTTACAACAATGGGTTAACAACTCCTGGCAACCAGTGGCATTTTTCTCTAGATGGTTGCTAGACACTGAATCGAAGTATAGCACATTCGGTAGGGAACTCCTAGCTATGTATTGTGCTGTACGACCTTTTCAACGATATATCGGAGGCCGTGAATTCACCCTATTCACTAAACATAAATCGCTCACCTTCTCTCCAAGCTCTCCTTCAGACAAGAACTCTCCCCGTGAGTCTCAACAACTGGACTACATTTCGCAGTTTACTTCAGACATTCAACACATTTCTGGAGCAAACAATGTAGTCGCAGACTCTTTGTCTGGAATAACTTCCCTGAACAGTTTCCAAGGAATCGACCTTCTTAGACTCGCCCAGCTTCAGAAAGAAGACACTGATCTTCAGCACGAGTTATCGTCTACAACCCTCAAACTACGCATCAAACAGATGGGAACAGGTAAGGAAACCTTGCTTTGTGACACATCTACAGGTAGGGATCGCCCAATCGTGCCGAAACATTATCGACGCAACGTCTTCAATACGTTGCACAAACTTTCTCATCCAGGTATTCGACCAACCATCAAGCTTATAGCAGAACGGTTTCGCTGGCCTGGTATGAATAAAGACGTGAGGGAGTGGGCACGCTCCTGTGTAAGCTGCCAAAAACCTAAGGTTATCAGACACAATAAATGTCCCTTAGGCTCATTTGAAACTCCCGATGCTCGTTTCCACCATGTTTATCTGGATTTGGTAGGACCTTTACCAGATTCAAATGGATACTCTTACCTCTTAACCTGCGTAGACCGTTTCACTCGATGGCCAGAAGCAGTACCTATCAAGGACATCACTGCTGAAACAGTGGCCCGCACCTTCGTCGAACGATGGGTAGCAAACTTTGGCTTCCCTTCAACCATCACTACAGACCGCGGACGTCAGTTTGAATCTGATCTTTTCCGTCGTCTGACCACACCTTTAGGAATCACTCGCTTCCGAACGACCGCCTACCACCCACAAGCAAACGGGTCGGTAGAATGCTTTCACCGACAACTAAAAGCTTCACTATCAGCTGCAAACGTTTCGCAGTGGACCGACGCTCTTCCACTCGTCTTACTAGGTACCCGCATTGCAGTGAAAACTGACATTGGATACACTGCGGCTCAACTCGTTTATGGAACGACACTTCGACTTCCAGGAGAATTCGTGGATCCTTCGTCCTCTTCAATGAACATGGATCTAACCTCCTACACGAACAGGCTTACAAACGCAATGCGTTCAGTTAAACCTGCTTCCACTCGACCTCAATCAACTGATGTTTTCGTTCAACCTGACTTACAATATAGTACACACGTTTTCGTTCGTCGAGACTCGCATCGACGACCTTTCGAATCAGCGTACGAAGGACCTTTCAAAGTTCTTCAACGTGAATCTAAAGAGTCCAATGGTCCATCTCATACACACCAAAATACTGATAGATATAGTAATGACATCCGACAGCTACAAAACTCTCTATCCGAAATTAACGGCAAACTTGAGCAATTAGCACCCCTCACTCATATATGGGGCCTTGATACAGACAGAAATCTTGAGCAACTCACTAAAGCTGAGTGTATTTTGGAGTTTGTGGCTGAAGAAGTGACGAAGAGAGTGATGTCCTCCTTCAATGCAGTTGTGTACAACCTCCCCGACCGCACACACCCATCTAAGTTAAGGGATATTTGCCTTAGAGCATGCGGTATGCCGAACGTTAACTGCAAAGTCATCCGCCTTAGAAAAAAGTCAGACAGATCGACTTGCCCCCTTTTGTTTATGTTTGGCTGTTGTAACGATGCTAAGCAGTTTATTAATCTGAGCAAAAATATTAGCTCACTAATTCCATACAAGAATATAAAAGTCACTCCAGACCTTACGCCCTGTCAACGTCGTGTAAGAAGACGCGAAGCGATAGAATTGAATGGGAGTGTTACAGTTAATAATCAGCCAGAGACAGTTTGCAACACAGCAAATAGTTTAAAACACACGAACAATAAGCATGACACCACTCCACATACGGCTGATCACTCTGTTGATCTAGATGAGTCTACAGATCAGAAACCTTTGGATAAGATACGGACCCCAACTGACACCAAAAACCATAACGACATGACTAATCCCAGCTGTTCGTTCAGTAATGTACTAAAATGTGAGTCGTGTAACAACACACATCCAACTAAACCTATACACTTGAAAATTTGTCCTCCTAAATGTATTCCACAAGTAGACTTGAATGAACGTAAGTTCATCTCACAGAGACAACGAAAGACTCCAGCTCTGAAAATAAAGGGTGGGAAGACAAAACTCATGATACCGAATAGGGAAACACGTACGATTGAACCCAACTGCTCTATAGGTATCCCAAGAACAGTGAACAGGTTCTCCCCGCTGCTATCGTATAACTTGCCTTCAACACCTCCAAGTTGCAAAAAGGGTGGTGGGCTTCAACGTAGCAAGCCTTCTTACACGCAGACTAACGAAAACTACCAGAGAACTGGCCACCCAAATCACCCCCTGAAGCCTAAAACCATGAATAAGAATGGTAATAATAGGTTTCTCACTCCACACCCTACCTACATTCCCCAGGATCGCAACTGTAATTACTCTCAGAAAGAAAACTTCTCACACCCTTTAGTACCGACCCATCACATAACAACGGCTCCCATGTATAACAGCAGTCGCAACTCCTCCCAGTTACGCGTAGCAGACCCCTCTCACGCTAACGTAAATAGCCATAACAGGGGCTACGAGTCTAACCATCAAGACTATTTTGTAAATAACCATACACTTCACAGTAGGCCTGTACAAGATTTTTTTGGAATAAGACCCCTAGTGACACCTCTGTTGAAGCATATAGCCCAGGTTATTTCAAACCACATGCAAACCATAAATTTGTTTCCTCCGTACAGTTTCCATCACAGAGTACTCCCACCCTTTCCTCCTGGGTAAACTCCCCAATCAACTTCACTAGCTCATTTGATACATCTCCCAATAAGTCTAGCTATCAAAATACCGAGCTAATGAAGAACATCCAATCCCTCACATCAAACTCATCTCATACGCGCGAGGGTTACGACAATTTTATCCGAGATACCCTCACCCATTTTAACTTAGTAGGCCACCTGCTTAATATATGTCTTATCAACGCTCGATCGATCTGCAACAAAAAGACGGATTTAGCCCTGTTTGTATCCATATATCAACCATCAGTTATTATGATATCTGAAGCATGGACTAACAGTAATATTTCCGACCGAAGTATATCTCTTGATAACTATTCCCTATATAGAAGCGATAGATTGAATGGACGAGGCGGAGGATGCCTTATTTACGCTCACTCTAGCCTAAACTCACTGCTATGTGATATGCCTGAACTAAACAAACTGAAGGATTCGGTGTGGATTGTATTAAAGCCGTCGAATTCCGTTACCTTACTGCTCGGCTGTGTTTATCGTCAACCTAACGCATCAATAGATGAAATAGCAGTATTATCGGAGGTATTCACACTAGCATCATCCCTCTCATTCACAGGCAAGCTCATTTGTGGTGACTTCAATATGCCCGAAATTTCTTGGCTGCCAGTCAAAGCGCCGAGACGTTATGAATCATTTATTGAATGTCTAGAGCTCGGACAATGGACTCAGTATGTCGATAGCCCTACCAGACATCAAAACATCTTAGACTTAGTCTTTACCAGTGGCCTCATCCCCAATACTTTGTATATTGGAAAAAAGTTCCCAGGTAGTGATCACAACATTGTCATATGCAGCCTTAATGTAAAAACCACAACCGATAGGAGTAAAACCGTAACACTTCGTAGAAACTATCGCAAGGTTGATTGGAATAACTTCCACAATTACTTAAGAAGCACTGATTGGAGAACTTTCTTTACCTCAAACAATACCGACACATTAATCAATATATTTTATCACAACATCAAAAGTATCATCAACAACATCGCACCTTTAGAATACTGTAAACCTACGTTTTCCAAAGATCTCTATATACCGGTCAGTACAAGAAGACGTCTTCAAAGACATTGTACTCGATTCCACAACTTAAATGACTTTTCCTCTTTAGTAACGATGACAGAAATACTTGTCCGAACAGAGGCAATAAGTAAACAAAAAGCAGTAGCACAGGAAAAACGTGCAGTTGAACTTAGTAATAACTCCTCTGCACTCACCATACTACTCCAAAATAAACTTAAACGCTCTAAATCGAGAGGGAGTATATTCATTAAAGGCAAACAAGTATACGAAGATCCCAAACTTATCACAGAATTATTTAGTGAACATTTTTGTTTCTCACTAACTAACGAAAAACCATTTAATGATTCAGAACCAATCCCAGTAACTCCCTGTGAAATTACTAATGTAGAATTCAGTGTACAAAATATCTCCAAGGCAATCAGTACATTGAAACACTCCTACACTGATGGACCAGATGGTATCCCATCTAGCATGCTAAAACGTGGAGGTGATGATATGTGTGTTTTGCTTCTCAAACTATTCGCGATATCACTCTCTTCAGCGTGTTACCCTACTGCCTGGAAAACTACACATATCATTCCCAAAATTAAAACAGGACCTGAAGCAAACGTTGAAAATTACCGGCCTATAAACATAACTTCAGTGGTATCCAGAGTGATGGAAAAAGTAGTTAAGGCGGCTGTAGTCCAACATCTACTAACTAATAATCTCATCTCGACCTCCCAGCATGGATTTCTTAGGTCCAGATCATGCGATACATGCCTAGTAGACTACCTGAATGATATAACTCTGAAACGAGACAGCGGACTCCTTGTATCAGTCCTATTCCTTGACTTTAAGAAAGCCTTTGATAAGGTCCCACACAAAAGGCTACTCGTCAAACTAAAGTCCTTCGGAATACACAACCCACTGTACTCATGGTTTGCTTCGTTCTTAACAGAACGTAAACAGATGGTAAAGTACAATGACTGTCTCTCGTCCCCTAGACCAATCACCAGTGGAGTCATCCAGGGAAGCGTATTAGGTCCACTTTTGTTTCTTATGTATATAAACGATATATGTAACACCATAGAATTTGGGAAACCATACTTATATGCTGATGATCTCAAAATAGTATACAGCTATAAGCCTGAGACACTAAGCGAAAGTGTATCCCAGATCCAAAAGGACCTCAATAACTTAACTATATGGAGTGAAAAATGGCAATTACCATTTAACCTCAACAAGTGCGGGATCATGCACTTTGGAAAGCATCCCTATAAACCGCGACTTCACTTAAATGAATGTAGAGTCCAAACATTCGAATCAGTACACGATTTAGGAATTAATTACACAGGAAGCCTAAACTTTGAAGAACATGCCTCCTATATTATTTCTAAATCTAGACGGCTAATTGGTTTTATAATGAAAAACTTTTTCACAACAGAGGGTAAACTTACTCTCTACAAAATATGTGTACGACCCTCCCTTGAATACTGCTCTTTTGTCTTCTCTAATATGAATATCGCAGACAAGATAAGAGTAGAAGAAGTTCAAAGACGTTTCACACGTCAACTACTAGGATGTAACTCGAATCTCGATTACACAGAAAGATGTAAGCATCTATCTTTAGAACCTTTATGGCACCGTAGGCTAAAAAACAATTTAATATTTCTCTACAAAGCGATATATGGGCTCTCCTTTCTAACCTCCTGCCCGACTATCACCCACGACCCAGCCTATAGACTTAGAAACAACGCATATACACTACTTACCGTAAAACACCAAAAACAAATGCGTTGTAAGTTTTTTACAGTACGGTACAGTTTATTGTGGAACAGGCTGCCAATGCCTATCCGTAACTGTGATACGTTTACCAGATTCAAAAAGCTAATAACCCTATTTCTAGACTCCAAAGAGCTTCAACATTTCCTTGAACTCCCGCCCACCAAGGAGGCACTTTATTACGGACCGCCTAGTGTCTAGAAAGAACAAAATTATAACACGTTCGACTGTTACTAATATGAATATAACCAAATCACAGAATATATGGCCTATCCTTTCCTATTATTCATTGTTTATTAATCATGACTTCATGCTCCTAACCCTAGCTTTCAGTCCCCAAATCTCTACAGGTTAAATGTACATTATTCTTCCTAAAAGTCATGCTTTTTTTTTCTACTGCAATTAGACAGATAGCTCAACCTTATGGATGCTGATCTACTAAGGCCGATCATACAAAGCTCAAAATTTGGCCACAAAGTCTTGTGAGTTTCTCAATGTTTTATTTGTCTTACCCTGAAATCTTTTTTTTCTTTCTACAATTTTATACCCTCTCATATCTTTTGATTTGCTATTAGTCCTTACTTCTTTAAACCATTAGTTATTTTCATAGTAGTGTGATATACTATATGGACATCTAACCCAAAAAAGACTTTTCAACTATCTGATTTGCTTGTAACATGGACCTAGTAGAGACAGTGTATTCCAACTATGGGCTTTGATTAAAGCAGTATTCATACTTACCACAAACGTAAGAGAGCCTAACATCACAAAAGGAGGGAGGGTGGCGTTACTGACCAGCAAACATGAAGGTGGGGAGATAACTTCAATCCACCCATGTCTGTAGGGCAGAACATTTTGTTTAATTACGGCTCCTTATGTTTTAGTGGGATGTCACGAACTTATGGTATTGATGCTGATTTATCACGCAAAATACCTCTTTAAATCGTGTTACGAACGTTGAATTGGTTTCACTTCCTACCCAGAAATCCTATTACAAGCAAACTAGACAATTCGCTAATATACGAAGCCTACTCAAGACCCTATAATACCTGAAAAAAATAATAATACAAAAAAAACGAAAGGGGCTCTAATAGCTTCGATAATAAAAGGAAGATAGCCAATTGTATATCACAATACTGTTTCTAGCACTAGATTTTATTTTATAATCACAAATAATCCCATACTTTCAGCTCCTTTACGAATCGCCTCCATTTGTCAGTTGTATGTCCACTCACACCTTGTTATCACTTATTTTCTTTAACCTATTAAAATGCGATTTCTTAACAAATACCTTAATAAAAGAAAATTAGACTGAGTAATCATACCTTGAACATTCCTTCATGAATGTTGGCTACTCTGCCCCTCGTGTTTTCTTTTACTTGCTCCCTCTTTCAGCCCCCTTGAGATATGGAACGGGTGACTTCATCCTGCACCATCCTTAAAGCCTTGGATATTCTAAAGGGACATAAGGTTGCGATTTCTAGAAGCTCATACCTTCAATGGACCTATCCTTGACCACCAGTCGCACATTTGCAACGCAACTTTCATGAAGCGCGCTAACTGTAGAACTGCTTAAAACCATCTACATTCATATCTCATAAATTATCAACCCAGCTATGTAATTTACTACAGTGAATATTGTATCATTTGTATCAATTTGATCTTGCCTGTAAACTGGCATGCCTCATGTAACAAACTGTTATTTGAGAATAAACTATTATTATTATTATTATTATCTAAGTACTATATAGTCGATAAAAACGGAACAAACGATAGCATCAGCATAGATCGCTTAAAGGCAGCGTATTTAGAAGGAAATCATATTCACGTCGATTTCCCTTCGGTACAATCGCACAACACGACTCCTACACTCATAATTCCTCAACCGACAACCAAGACACGCAATGATACCCCGAATGTATCTGAAAATAAACTTAAAACGACGCGTTCTGGAAGAAGAGTAAGATTTCCAGAACATTTAAACGACTATTGCACGTAAAGCCCTACTCGACATTTTATATTATCTTGATCTTTCTTTTTACGATATATAATATATTTTAAAAAAAAACATTTTTAATATGCTTATATATTTATACTTTTACTTTTAAAAAAACAGAAAAACATTATAAATCTTTTTAACGCAATTACATGTGCATAAGTTCATTTTCCATTTTTTTTCGCCGACATTGTGTTTTTACGCACAAACGAATGTATTTCGATATGCCGAAATTTTCATTGTACCTTTTCTTTTTTTACTATGTTGTACCTCGGTCCCATATAGTAAGGAAAGACGACCAGGCGTTGCTAAACCTAGCAAGCTATCTGAAGAGTGTTTACTAACGAAAAAACTCGTTGGGTTTAAACTTCTAGCTGGTCACGTCTTAGAGTCATCACGACCCCACCAGGTGGCAGTGATCTGTAGCGGTAAATAAATCCCCAAAATAAATAGCTCTGTAAATTTTCGACATTGCATGCTGACCAGATTAGTTTTAGTGGACTCACCTAGCTGAAGGCGCTCGGTCATGCATGCGCGCCAGATCACGTGTGGGAACGCCGTGCTCAACATCTACTGCAATCGCTAGCCAGACTAGATCAGATAATTCCGATATATTGGCAATCGTCAAATACAACTTCTGATCTCCTCGGTTCTGTCTTTTGATTCTCTTGGTGGGTTATATTAGAAGGTGTTACTGGTAAAAGCGTTGTCAAACATTGAATACCTGCGCCATCTGCACACAAATTTATAGCACTCATATCTCCTTTGTGCCACATTAATTAGTCACATTTTCCTCATAAGTCGAACGATGACTGTATGTTGTGATCATAGTAACTACAGCAATTTTTAAATAGCACTAATTTTTGATGTGTCTGTTCCAAAAATTACTAGTGAATTTCTATCAACGGGATCCGAAATCTCTAATGAATAGCACTGTTCGCAAATAAGAGACTTATAGGTATATTCTGTTACCTGCTATTTGATTAACTTATTGAATTTGATACTGGTAACAAATTTTAATTGTTTGTCTTAAGACTGATTTGTTGTTTTTCAGAATAGTATGAAGCTTATGGAATCTATGATTATGGAAGATCATGTGAAAAACCAGTTTACAAGTTTACGATGACAGTTTTATATTGCCTACTGCCATGTTCATTCATCTAATGAATTACTTAAATATAAATATAACAACCTTTCTCAGTGTTTTATATTCTATTTCATGGTTTCTCGCAAGCTGCGTACAACCGAATATGTATTACAATTTAACATTGAGGTAAGAAGTAGTATGGAACAATTGACATAATAGAAAGCAAAGAATTATAATGACCCAGGTTATCAATAATAACTATAAATATATGCTTGAACAGGCCAAAGGTTATTTGATGTTAGACTAAAGGAAACATTAAGATTGGGTGGTGTAATAGTCGAGTGGAGTTCAGAAGCAGATAAGATAAATTGTGTGATAATTCTAGAGGTAATCAACGAACCACTGAATTAAAAACTAAAAAGAAAATTGAATACAATTTGAAGAGTTCACGTAATTTAAGAGGATAAAGTTAGCAAATAAGTGTGAGTCGAAGGCTGGTTTAAGGATAACGTAACCCATCTTATCAGGGAACTAACTGCATGAAATTTTCTAGTTCGGTACTAATACTAATTTGATAGCAGATGTAATCCAACAACGGAAAATATGTCAGGCGGTTGCCTAAGCTGTAAGTTTTTACGTGGAAGTCGCAT